ATAAACAATCAATAAACAAAGAAACAAACGGAAGTAACAATATAAATAAACAAAAGGTCATGGGGTACACGAAAATTATCTATATGTGCTCATATACTTTATATACATAGTTTTACATCGCCATGTAATTGTTTTTCGTTTTTCCACGGGGTCTGAGAGTGAAATTTGGCTACGTGACCCCGTAGAGTTATTCCGCAGATTTAAAAATACGATTTTCATGGTCCAGGACGGCCCGGCCGCGTGGGGAAAAGTATGTGTTTGGTACCCGTCCGACTGGAGAAAAGTTATTCTTTCGACAAATATTATACGTTGTAAAACCCCATTATAGCATCAATAATAGGTATATGATAGATAATTATATCAAATACAAGTATTCTGTACATGATTTGTCATGTAAAATGTAGACATAATAAAAAGGAATAAGATCGCGATTTTTAGGTCCGTCATATTTTTACGCATAGCACACGTATAATCGGTCCGATTTTAAAGTATTATGGCTCATTTTGTAGCTGAATAATAGTTCTATTTCATACTGCCATGAGGATTTGCAATATTTTCACGTGGTTCTTGTAAAAGTGACATATGTTTTCAAATCTATTAGGGTGTTAAAATAGTCACCTTCGGAAAATATTCACCAAGAAAAAAGTAAGGTCAACTTCTCAAAAATGCATAATAATAGTAGAAAGATAGTTCCATTCAAACATGAAATCAGAATGGCTGTATGATTTTTTTTTTTTTGGATTTTTGAGAATTTTTTAAAAATGGTCAATGTAGGCCTATAGACCCCCAGATCACTGCCACCACTCTGCACTATACGTAAGATTTTGAGAAACCGTTACGAGCTGGCAATGTCCACAAGACTTCGGAATGAAGGTAGATGATAGAGGATTATGGTGTAGGAAGACTAATCTTATGCCTTGTTTTGTTGATATCAAGATAGCCTTGGAAAGATGAAGAAACGTAAAATGCCGATATCTCGGAACTCCACCATTAGGGGTGGGTCAAAGGATTCCGGGCACACCATATGTCCAAAATTAACATATTATGGCTCATTTTGTAGAAAAATAAAATATCTGCAACTTGATCGAGAGCGTTTTCGCAGTTTTTGCCTGTACTTCTTGTAAAAGTGGTCAATGTAAGAAAAGTTTTACCTTTTTCTTTCTTGAAGTCCCGACTTCAAAAATTCAAAAAAAAAATTGAGGTCGAAATCGAAAAAACGCTCTCGATCAAGTTGTAGTTTTAAGGTAGTTCTGTGCAAAAATCAAATAAAATTGAATGTCTTGCTGTTTCTGAAGTCGGAATCCTTTGACCCAGGTGCTGCATTTTCAAAATGGCGAATTTCGCATTTTTCCGTTTTTTGACAATAATTCAAAAACTGTTCGGGCGATTTCGAAAAAAAAATCGACCACAGGCAATGGGAAGGGGCCCAAATAAAAGGGTGTGAGTTTCATCAAAATCGGCAAGAAAAATCGAAAAATCGAAAAAAAAGCAGACGGTCCCCTGAAGTGTTGCAGAGGGCCGGAATGCCATCAATCGAATCCTTGCTGGTTCACACACAGCTTCGCTGGGTGGGCCACGGATGCCCGATTCACGCATCCCCAAGTTCCTGCTCTATGGAGAGCTGGGCAATGGTGTGAGGAGTCGTGGAAGGCCTTTGCTTCGCTACAAGGACGTTGTGAAACGCAACGTGGTCAGCGCAGGTATTAGTAACTGGGAGGAGCTAGCAGAAGACCGACAGAAATGGCGAGCCGAGATCCGAGCAGGCGCCGGGCGTGTGTATGAAACATGGAAAACGTTGGAGGCCGCTCGTCGCGAGCGGCGCCACGCTGCTATCCAGGCCCGCGGAGCGAATGCTGCAGGGGCATCGTCGAACTAACGACGGCCGGACACGACTATATATATATATAATATATATATATATATTATATATATATATATATATATTATGTTATTATATTATATATATATGTATATATTTACACTAAGACGCCCTACACAGACGAGTTAAGGCGCGGTCTTGTGTTCGTCTTGGACCTGACTTGTGCATAAGTGCCCAAACGGGTGTAGTGTTTCACCGATGAAAATCACCGCCACAAGAGACTCGCCTGAATATCACCGCAAATAGTGCTTCTCATCTGCGCAACATGGACTATGAGGCCTTATCTCTATTTCACTAGTTTCGTGTTTGAAGGCGTATACACACACCACCGACGTGTATATAGTAAATAAGCAGATATTCACCTGGTTCCATAGCGAGCAGGAAGGAGAGTTGTTGCCGGCAGCGTCACGGGATAGAGAATGGTCATTTTGCGGCGTTATCAGCAGTGAGGTCTCGTCACTTGGGGATTCTGTGCAACTTTGGGTGATAAGGCTTGTGACGACGCGTGGGTGTCGAACGAGAACAAAGGGGGCGAGGGATAGAGAATAATATGCTGGGGAAGGAGATAATAAAGACGGTGGCAAATGAGGAAACAACCAGAAAAGTACTGTCACAGTAGGA